AACATACATACGTATTTTAGATGTATTTATAAAAATCTGCAGTTAAGGGGCACCTGGGTGGCTCAGTGGGTTGAAGCCTCTGCCTTCGGCTCAGGTCATGATCGAGCCCCGCATCGGGCTCTCTGCTCAGCGGAAAGTCTGCTTCCTCCTATCTCTCTCTGACTGCTTCTCTGCCTGCTTGTGATCTCTGTCAAATAAATAAATAAAAAAAATCTTTAAAAATAAAAAAAAAATCTGCAGTTAAAACTATGTACACATACTATCTTCCCAAAGGCACAGTGTACATTTCATATCCTACTCATTATCACTTTCTTTTATTGTATAAAGTCAATGTCTTTGAATCTCGTATCAAGTCCTAATATGTGGTTAATTTGTACATATCATGAATAATCGATGAACTTCCCATAATTTGTTTTTTAAAACCAACAGAAGTAATTCAGCAATTTAATTAGAAATTGGCTAAAGGAATTTCATTTAGAAGTAATTTCTAAAGGCAACCAAATACATGTCTCTTTTTTTTTAAGATTTTATTTATTTATTTGACAGAGAGAGATCACAAGTAGGTAGAGAGGCAGGCAGAGAGAGAGAGGAGGAAGCAGGCTCCCTGCTGAGCAGGGAGCCCGATGCGGGGCTTGATCCCAGGACCCTGAGACCATGACCTGAGCTGAAGGCAGAGGCTTAACCCACTGAGCCACCCAGGTGCCCCCGAATACATGTCTTTTAACTTGAAAGATTATTAGCACTCATAGAAGTATCAGAACAGATGGAAGTAAACAGTCTCTGTATTTAAATCTTCTTCCATGCAAATGTTTTGAATAACATGTAGAGTACACATTATCACCTACTTGCCAGCCTTTCAGGGAAAAACCACCTGGACATTACATCCATCTCTGTGCCCACCCACACAAAGGCCCAAAGGTTGCCTTGTCTTTGTTTTCTAATGCAAGAGACAATACAAGTTCCCATCGCTCTCTTCTTCAAATCCCTCCATTCCCTGCATCCAAGGTCTCATCTGGAGTATGACTTTGCAGAGGCACCATCATCCCATCACTGAAAAAAGCAGCCACACTGGAAAGCATGGGTCTTGTGTGCCTCTTTGGATATTAAATAAGAATCTAAATCTGTGTCCATAATTTACACAAACTGGCAAGAACCTCCCAAGGATGTTCATCTTATCAATAAATATTAAACATTTTTTGTGCTATCACTAACATCACTACCAACTGTATTTAAAGCAAAAAGTATCTAGCAATCAAAGTACATTTTCATCCACATTATAGTTTTGAAGTGTTACAGTTTTATTTACCTTTTCCCCTCGCCTGTGCTCTCATCTCCATAACACTGGGAACATTTATGTCTGTCTAAAAATGGGAGGCATACTGGTATTTGGAAATAAAATCCTCAAGTAGTCATTAAAAAATTAGTCCATTTGGCAGTCCAGCATCTCAGTGGAATGCATCAGGCGGCTAAGCACAGATCATCTGATTCACGGGCTGGTGAACATTTGGAGATCAAGTTGCTGAGGGTCGTTTCTTTAAACACAGGAAAACAACAGATTTCTTTATGATATAGAAGTGCTATCCCTTTCTTTGGATACATCTATGTATACAGTAGCTCACTTGTGTCCATTAAAATGCTAGTATTCAGAGAAAAAGCAGACAGAACAATAAAAATAACCACCACGTATTCAGTCCTCGCCTCCGTGCCAGACACTACGCGGAGTGCTTCACAGGCATGACCTCATTAGTCCTCTCGGTGAAGACAGCATTGCTCCCATCTTCATTTTGCATATGCAAACCCTGAAGTCCAAGGTTAGGTGGTCACTGAGGGCAGATTCAAACCTAGGAATCTACAGTTTGAAAGTGTACTCACCGTACACTTCTACCACTTCCCCTAGAGCAGGGTTGTTTTATTTGTTTGTTTGTTAAAGATTTATCTATGAGAGAGAGAGAAAGAGTATGTGTGGGATGGGGAAAGGCAGAGGGAGTGGGACAGAATCTCAGGCAGGCTCCCTGAGATATGGGGCTCCATCTCATGACCCTGAGACCATGACCTGAGTGGAAATTAAGAGTCAGACACTTACCCGACTGAGCCACCCAGGCGCCCTTAGAACAGGGTTTTATAACCTCTACCCTGGTATTTGGGGCCAGATAATTATAAATTCTTTATTGGACAGGTAAGAAAGGAGCTGATCAATGCATTGTAAGATACTTAGCTGCTTGTCTACCTGCTAGATTCCAGTAGCTTCCTTCCTCCCAACTGTGCACACCAAAAATGTCTCTGGACATTGTGACAGGTCTCCTGGCAAGCGAAATTACCCCAGACAGAGAACTGCCACCAGAGAAGCAAAGTTTAATGACCATGCATTACTTATCAAACACACGTGTTTTCAATTTAAAGGTACGTCATCCATTTCCCAAATAATAAGATAATTTGCATAGTTATGCTAGCCACATGACATAGTCAATGCCTAATAATACTTCTTTAATAAATGGATGACATTATGGATAACCTCGTATAGGTTTCAAATGCTCTATTGTAGGCCTCTGTTGGACTTAGCACGTTTTACATTTTACTTTAATTAGTGGCATGGATGTGCCCATAACAGTATGCCAATCATATTTATAAATTTCATGAAGCAAGAAGGGAAAAGTAATATGTTCAATGAAGAAATGGAATCAAAAAGGTTGGTAAGATGGGCTGGATCTAAGAAGATGAATTTTCACAGGAACAAATGCCTATGAGGAAAACAGACAATGTGAAGGTTGAGGGACATGCCCACAGCCTCTGTCAGCTAAGAAGAGGCAGAGCTGGCACTCAAACTCACACTGCTTGGTAAGAACCCTTCCCTGGCTTTGCTTTGTCTCTGTCAGGGTGCACCCGAGCTGTCCCATTCTGTTCCACTCCTCAAATTCTGCCTGAGTCCCATCTGTAGAATATATCCACTGGCCTATGAAGGGCTCACAAGCATATCTTTGAGGTGAGAGAAATCGTTGAAAGTCTACAAAATGGCTGACCCGACACAGAAAAGACCAGACATCGACATAACAATCATCTTCAAGTATCTGGAGTATCTTCCCGTAAAATAGAAATGCAACTTATTCTGAATTGCATGGACACCTGAGCCAGGTCCCCCAAATGGAAACTACAGAGAAGCAAACTTTACCCCAGCACCATGACAAGTTTCTTAATGAACTGACTGTCCTACATTGGAATGGGCTCCCCTGGGGTGTAGTGAGCTCTCAGTCAGCAGAGGGGGAATATGCAGATGACAGGCCTATGAGAGTCTGAGCCCAAACAGAGAGGAGAATGTACCAGACATTCTCCAGGGTACTTTCTAGCTCTCGGTGTACAGAGACTCTTTGTTTGTTTGCTTTGAGAGAGAGAGAGAGCATGTGTGAGTGCAGAGGGAGAGGGAGGGAGAGAGAGAATCCCAAGCAGACTCTGGGCTGAGCCCGGTACGCAAACACGGGGCTTGGTCTTGTGACCCTGAGGTCACAAGCCATGCCAAAACCAAGAGTCAGACATTTAGCCAACTGTGCCACCCAGGTGCCCCAGGAACTCTCTCTTATAGGCTATTATTGACCTTGTAAAGTACTCCGTGTAATTCTGTTAATAAAAGCAAGATCTATGTTTCCTCTACCCCACATATCTAGAGTTATAGGGGTAAGTAAAATACAATGAGCAGGAGAGTCTTACCATGTATCACCATGTAGAGTAAGAGCTGTCTCCTGTGTGCCAAGCCTTGTGTGCAATGTACCCCCATCTTGTCCCATCTTTTCCTGAAAGGAACCCCCTAAAATAAGAAATGGTATCATCACCACTTCATAACTGAAGAAACTGAGTCACACAGAAGTTAAATAATTGATCCAAGATTACACAGCTACTAATTCTAGCCTTACTATGCGAAACCAAGTCAGTCCCGACTTACAAAGTCTGTTTTACAAATACACAGCATACTCCTTCATCCTTTCAGCAAGGATACACTATTTTGTTCGAAATGCTGGCAATTTCTAGAGTTTGAGACATATGACTATTTAAATGCAAATACCTAAAACATTTTCCAAAGACTCAAATACAACGTTTAAAAAATTATTTGCTATTTTCTATTATCCATGATATTGCCCCCTTCAAACAGTGCAAATTGCTATGAGTTGACTTTAAGTAAATGAGCAAAACAAGGGTTTTAGGGGTTTTTTTGTTTGTTTGTTTTTAATGTCTATAGAAGAAAGACTTGGTAAAAGCATTTTAGATACCATTCTGTAAATTAAAGAATTAGAACCCAGGCCTCCGGGCTATAAGTACTAGTATGAGAACAAGACTGATAACTTTGATTTCCACAGATTTAGGAAATTGTCACGGTCAGGTTTTTTAGACAGTTATATCATTAGAGATTGTGTTCTCTTTTGATCCTAATTATATTGTTGGATTACTTCTATTTATGGTTATCTTACTGGCTATTTTGTAAAACCAAACTGATTTTTAAAACTACTTTCTATGCCTTTATTACTTCACTGTCAAAATGCTGATGAAAAGCTCTAAACTCTTCTGCCAGACAGCACTGGATTCGGCGTATCTGTGACTCTGATTTCATGAAGAGAGCTTCAACTTTGCAGGTTGCATCTGGCCACGTCCTATTCTCAGGGAGTGCTGCTTCATGCCTGCCACTCCAGGCAAGAATCAGCCCAAGACTTCAAACACAGTTCAGCATTCTCTTTCTAAACTTATTGCCACCCTGGTGCTTACAATCATTGCAAGGTGCAATGAAGCCCGTAATTCTAGGTTGATCATTTTTGCAAAGCATAAAGGCAGTCGTACGAAAGGGCCCGAGCACCTATCATGAGACTGAAGATGGCGTCCAAAGCCGCTTTCTGCAGGCGGCCCTTTTGTCAAAAGGCAGAAGACTTCGCCAAGTCCTGTGGCTCACGGAGTTCTCCCTCTGTCCATGGTAGGGGTCAGTCACCTGTTGCTAATGAAATGTATGTTCACAGAGCACCCACCACATGTCTAAAAGAACTACCTGCTGGGCCTCGTACTGTAACAGTCTCTCACCAGGGTACCATTCCACCATGTCAAACTGTTACTTGAAGAACGTTTCTAAGACTTCGTGAAGTAGAACAGAGATTAGTTAGTGCACTGAAGCTTTATTCACAATTTCCCCCAGGTTTTTATGTTATTCCATAGGGGGAAACCTTTATAAAAATAATGTTCTCAATGTACTCCGTGGTGGGAAATATTCTAAATCAAGAGTGAAGATGTCTCCTAAATGAACATGAGTCACAGGAAACATGTCTACAACTCAAAGCAGTGGAGAGCACGGAGTACGAAACCAGGAAGGCACATCCGGGATCACACTTGAGCTACCCACAATGTAGGACCTGATAGGTTATCCAGGGGATTCAGAAGGAATAAACCAGGAAATGTCCTATGAACTCTGAGGAACGTACCAAGCAAGTGCCACTGCTAGTACCTTGATGCCAGACTTCCCAGCTTCTTGAATCAATGTGTGTCAAAAGCCATATGGCATCAACTTCTACCCTCATTCGTGGTTCTAAGAACGTTGTTGCCTTTAATCATGACACCTTTAGAAGTCACTGGCTAGGGTGCCTGTGTAGCTCAGTTGGTTAAGCAACTGCCTATGGCTCAGGTCATGATCCTGGAGTCCCAGGTTCAAGTCCCACATCAGGCTCCCTCCTCAGCAGGAAGTCTGCTTCTCCCTCTGACCCTCTCCCCTCTCATGCTCTATCTCTCTCTAAAAAAAAAAAATAAATAAATAAGAAGAAGAAGAAGTCATCACTGGCTAAGGGATCTGAATAAACAGGGCAGGAGTTAGTGATGTCAAGTGGAGAAAAAGAATAACCACTAAGGCACAGTCTTATTTATCACAAGGGTAGGGAGGAAATGTGCCACTATTAGAAGTTTCATTATGATACGTAACCTTTAAGTTAAAGGGATCTTCTACCTTCTCTTTCCCATCCAACCCCACCATTATTAATGTCCCATGGAAGATACCAAAGAGAACTCTTGCATTTGGAGATAAAAAGAATCTTTCATACATTTGGTGCTAGGAAAAAGAAATATTTAAACCAAATTGAAGGCATCAAAAATAAGTAACTGCATTGAAAAGTCACAGCCATATTGAATAATAAACAATTTATGGAAGGAGCCCAGAAAAAAAATTGTTTTTTAAAAAATTGAAAAGCATAGCTTCTGACAAGTATTCTTTATTTATGAGTATAAGTAGAATTTTTCAAGGAACACAAAAACACTAAAATAAAATGCAAGTTTGACACACACATTTTTCCTTGAGGGTTGGCCAAAAGGGGGAATCTAGGCAGATAGGAGGTTAATTGCATAGTTTAATTCAATGATCATTATCTACACTAATTGAGAGAACAGAATCAGGATTATGTGAAATTGTTAATGGTCTGAAATCATTTACAGTTGACTAAGGAAGTGTTTGGGGCCTTTTGAGTTGAATACAGGTATGCTATCGAGCAATTCAGTTTTTAGAAAGACAAGTTTTCTAAGTGAAGTCCAGATGCCCAAGGCTGAAAACTTCTCTTGTTCCTCCTCCTCTCTTAGTCCTGGGGTGCCGGTGGGCCATATCCCCCAGATTAGTGTGAGGCTCACGTTCTGCTGGGTATATCAGATGACCCAAAGGGCCACTGGATGTGCCCTTGCTCTTTGTTCCCTGATAGCTCTTGTGACTGTGTAAATTTTGAGTCAGAGGGCAACGAAAGGGGGGAGGTGCAGAGAAGATTAACCTAGGAAATTTCTGCCCCAATAACACGACTCCAGACCTAACGTCCCAGACTTGTTTACCACTATCAGATTCACAAAGACAAAATGCCACCTCTCTTAAATAATTCCCTGGTTTCCGGGCAAAATGAAGTATGAATTGTTTCAAAAGGATTCTATGCATGCAAAGTGGATAGCTGTCAACAAAGCTATAATTAAGGAGATGAGACGCTGTCAATACACTTGAAATAATGATTTTCCTTGGAGCAGACACACTGTGTCTTATCCGTTCTCAACCCTCTTCTCATATGGCCTCCCTCCAGGATCATCTGAGTTTTCTCAATATAATTTAGGAGGGGGAACTCCCTATGCAGCTCTTTAAAGATTTTGAGAAATTCATAGACAACACTCTTCTTCCTTTTCAATGGACATGTTGCTTTGTTTTCTTAAAATTCATCATGTGTTTTAGACGAATTATTATCAATTGTCCTACCTCCAGTGTTCCATTCATTTAAAGAACCCAATATAGTTTCATTAGCCGATGAAGAGCAATAAGGATTACCTGCTGGGTGAATGAATAGAGCCTTGTCTTTGCAAATTAGTTTCACATGTGCTATTTCATGTTTTCAGCACCATCTGCCAACCACCCTTCTCCTGGCTGTAACTGATTTCATACTATTTTGGTCTACTTGGGACATTTTAGATCTCAAGAAATGTTTTTAAATGGAAGTACGGACTTTCCCTGCCAATTAAGTCACTTTCCTTACTCGTCCACTCTTAGGAACTGTTTCTACCACAGTCTTGCTCATGTCACTCCCACTTCTTGAGGAAATCACATTTCTCTGGAACCATCGCTGATCCTTTTCCCCAAAAGATGATTCAAAACATCTCTTCCTGGATGAGACCTCGAACAATTAGCCATAGATTTCTCTGCCCACCCCCAAGCTTCTGTTGTTCTCAGTGTACTAACCTACATTTGGGCACCATGTTTGATGGTGTTTCTACCAGAGATGGCGGTTGGCTCAGGGGTGTATTTCCTCAACTGAGTCATAACTTCTTCAAAGCAGAAAAGGAATGTGCTCCTTTCCTATGTCACAGAGCTCCCCCCTCTCAAAAGCAGGGGCTCATCAACGCCAGTGCTTTACCCCCGCAACATTCCTGAGTGTCAGCTCCGTGCTAGGACTGTTCTAAGGCCGACCTCCTGTCAGGTGGTTGTCTTACCTATGCAACCACAGAAAGATGAGGGGCTGCAAAGGTGGAAGGAGAGGGGCACACGAGCACAACTAGAGTTAAGAAAGGAACAAGGGAAGTTAGGAAGGGTGTTAGGAGGGAGCTGTAAAGCATCATTGTGCAGGAAAGGGGCAAGATTTAGCTTTTTAAAAATATGAATAATTACATTTTGGTTGCTCCCTGGAATCTAGGTGTAGCTTTGTGATGCACTGGGAAAAATAAATTCATTTTTAAAGTGCACATGGACTGTGCTTTAAAGGTTGAAGAAGACAGGAGTTGAAATGAATTTACTCTTTAGGACTGGCTGCGAGAAATCCAGGAATTACCACAACAACTAACCATGTCTCCATCTCTGAATTCCCGGCACCAGGTGGTACTTTGGCAAATCTGTTCTCTGTGCCCTACCTGCTAAAAAAAATCTTCTGCTTGACTTTCCCCATCTGCCTCCTAGCAAATCCAGCCCAAATCCAAAACAAACGGATGGAATTAGGTTCTGGAGATGGGCACTTTCCCAGGAAAACCTAGAGAAGTTCATTAACTGTTAGCAGTTTGAAATACTCATTTGCAAGCTGAACCTAAAACACTGTCGTTCTCTGGATATGTCTTCCCAGGTTGAGATGCATGAACATGAACTATCCAGGAAATAGGCTAATTTAGAGGGAATTTAAGTTCTTAATGAATGTTTCCTAAGATTCCATAATGACTCCATTCTGTTTTTGCCATGTAAAGAAGTATGTCCTTTTCACTCTCGTTAGCATGCATGTCTTAGAAATTCACTCCTACACCATACAATGGCAATTATTTTTCCATGGATATCTAGAAATTCAGCATCTAGAGGCTCTGCACTGAGAATCAGAACATGTTGATTCAAGCCGTATCTCTCGAAACCAAGCCTAAAAACCAAATGCAGCGACATCCCAAATTGGGCCAGAGTACTATATAAGACTCCTAAATTGCCATGTGCATATGATAAAAGAAAAGAAAGAGAAGTGTAAACATTATTAAAATTGGATGTTTTGATCAATCTCACAACTGTGGCTTGCCACGATGTAATCTGGCACATATCTCCATAAACGAACAGCAGCTGAAGATTTAAATGAATGACTAGAGAATCACAGCCAAAGGTGGCATATTAGCCTATAGGGGTTCCAAGATAAAACAGCACAGACAGGGTGGCTAAAACAACAGAAACTTATTTTCTCACAGTTCTGGAGCCCGGGAGTACAAGATCAGGCTGCCAGCAGAGTTGGTGTTTAGGGAGAAGTCTCGCCTGGGACTGAGATGGCCACCTTCTCACTGTGTGCTCACCTGATCTCTTCATTACGCACGTGTGGTCGGGTGGGGGTGGGAGGGTGGGAAGAGAGAGAGAGAGAGAGCAGGAGCGCAAGCACTGGTGTCTCTTCTTATAGGAACATTGATCTTATTGGATCAGCGCCCCAACCTGTGACCTCATTTAACCTTAATCCTTCCCTATTCCAACAGCCACCCTGGGAGGATTTAGGGCTTCAATGTATGATTTCAAGGCAGATACATACACTTGAGCCATAACAGGGCTGTTTCAACCAATAAAACCCATTCATGTATTTGTCCAATTAGATCGGCACAGGCATTAAGGAATCCCTGAATACTGACTGAACCCAGAGGGTTGAAGTGACTCCCACTGGCCACACAGTAGCTGCCTAACCTGAAACTGGATCCCAGGGCCCAGGCCATTGGTCCTGCCAGTGCGATACAGTGCTCCATCTCCCTGGTCACCTGCCACAGTGCCTTAGCATGACCACTACATTTCATGATGTTTGGCAATGTCTGTTGCTGCCTAGTCTTAAGAAATACCAGAAGAATCTAGGGTTTTCTCTCTCTTCTACTGGCTTTATGTTCTAAGCCCTTGTCATTTTTCTTTACATTTCTAGCATGAAATTATTGCTAGAAACCTTCTGTTCTTCCAGCAAGACCCCTAACTTTTTGACAAGACTGAATTCCCTTCAGTGATCCCCTTGATTCTAGGGCTAGACTCCCAAGGTCTCCAGTGGATGTGTCAGGGCAGTTATGCAAATGGAGGGTGAGCCCAAGCAAGAGTCCTTCCTCAGTCAAAAGGAACCA